CCATAGGGAAATATGGAGATAGCATTGTTTGCTGCCTGTCACAAGGATTCAGGAGGTCCCCATGGAGTGAAGAGGTTTGTGATCCCCTGGAAATGTCCCAAAGTCCTGGGCCTATTTCTGCTTTCAGTCTGGAAGAATGCATCCTCCCCACAGGAGTTATAGGGACTTTGTTTCGTAGGCAGAACCAACTCCAGGCAGAGGAAAAATTCTTTCTGTATTTCAGAGACTGATTCTGGACTGTTTGGTCAGTAGTATGGCAGATGGTAAGTCTGTGACCACTATAACAATGTAATGCCTGTGAAATAGTGCCTCTCTTCCCTGAGCAAAAAATACAAACAAACAACTCCCTCCCCTCCCCCTGCCCACGAGGAATTTGGCATACTTGCCAGGGAAGACTCCCTAACCATAGCAATTAAGTTCAAATATGACTCCTTTGGGGACATTAATGTTCTGCTGAGTCATTTTATAACCTCGAGTTTGATTATGCAACCTTACGCATACTGATCAGCACTTAGTAATGCAAGTATTCCAACTGAAACCCCAGGGCAGGGCTAAGAGAACCTAAAGGAGTCCTATTCGGGCTTAAGCAGTTTGGCTTGGGAGCCATCCCTGATGAGTGTTCCACATACTTTGATTTGGCAGTTGCCTCATGGAACTTAAAATCCAACACACAGGAATACTTAATACTCATTCACTTAATAATGCAAATCGTTCTTCGGGACAAAACCCACACATCGATGAACAATAGTTTATTTGTATTCATAAAATAAGCTTTAAGGTATAAAGCAGTAATACACATTGAAAAGTTAACGTACTACACAGAAAGTTGTGATGTCCTTTGTGTTTAGATCTAGGGCCAGATTTTAGCTTGTTGGGTTCACATCTTTTTGGGTGTCATGGTGGGAGCTGCTGAATACTGAGCCCTTTTGAAAACCAAGCTCCTGTGGTGGGTGCTCTACACTAAAAACCTGGCACTGAGCTCTTTCGAAAATCTGTTTTACAACATGGCGTCTTTTCCTTTTACAGAGCTGGTTAGCCAGGTACAGCATTCTACAGAAGATCTTATTTTTGGTTAAAAGTATTTGTTTTTATTAAGTGAGACTTACTTTGTGCTCCTAGGTCGCTCTCTCGTCTAATCAATTGTTTTAGGAACAGCTGGGGACTTCCACTTTTCAAGAATCATTTTTTGGCAATCAGCACAGTCCTTACTAGTCATTTCTCTTGATTATGAGCTCCATCTTTCATGGACGTTAGGTTTCTTAGGATTTGTAAAGATGAGTCATGAGAAAGAGAGATTCTCTGGCACGAGATGTGTTCTTTCTTGAAGCTGTTCCAAAAAGAGTTGATAGTCTTTCACTTCCAATTTGCCTGTATTGAAGGCCACTGCTACTTTCTTGCATGATCAGCATCTGTTATTTGATTTGAGTCCAGTACCAGACATCGGTGTGCTGTAATTAGGAAGGACTGACTGTTGTTTCTAATATAGGATATTTTTAAAACAATGTGATGGAAAAGACGTTACAAGATGTGTGCTTGTTCTTACAAGCACTCCTTTTGCAGAATTCCCAATGAAATTGGAATGCAGGATAAGGCCCTATATTAACACTGCAGACCATAAAAGGCATGCTGTTAAGATATTTAGGGTCCAAAATATGGTCTTCTCTTTATCCCACCGAGTTTATCCCTTGTCTTTGCTGAAGCCCTGGAATTATTTCCATTATTATCTGATCTATACCTCTCCAAACTAAGATTCCCACATCAGTCACCATCCTTCCAGCTAAGTAGAAATTAATGGAAATCTCTTCTTCACTCCTGTTTTTCTTTCAGTTGATAGGGTGTTGTCAGTAAATGATGTCTGCTTATTATCCATGGTGTTTCTAACCCCAGCTAGTCCATGTAGCATGTGACCAAGACTGACCCATTGAATGTAGCCTACTGTAACACTGTTACAATCTGATAGGAACAGTCCACAGAATTCTAAGTAGCTATGTTATTGTGGCTTAAAAAAAAACTAGAGAGATTAAAACTAAAAAGGAGGAAGAACAGTTCAATAGTTAAGGCACTTGCCTGCCTTGCCACAGGTTTCCTGTTTGATCTTGGGCAAGTCACTAAGGCCTGGTCTGCACTAGGAAACTAGGTCAGTATAACTACGTTGCAGAGGGGTGTGAAAGATCAACACCCCTGAACAATGGTTAAAACAACCTAACCCCAGTGTTGACAGTGTTCAGTCGACAGAATAATTCTTCTTTCAACCTAGCTACCTCCTCTCAGGGAGGTGGAGCAGCTACACCAATGGGAGAACCCCTTCAGTCTGCATAGATAGCATCTTCACTGAAGCACTACAGAGGTGCAGCTGCTCCGCTGCAGCATTTTAAGTGTAGACAAGTCCTAAATCTCTCTCTGCCTCATATCCCCATCTGTAAAGTGAGGATAATGATACTTCCCTTCTTCACAGTGGTGTTATGTGGATAAATGCATTAAAGACTGTGAGGCCCTCATATACTACAGTAATTAGGGGCCACATAAATACCTGAGATAGATAGATAGATAGATAGATAGATAGATAGATAGATAGATAGATAGATAGATAGATAGTACTACTCCTCTGACAAAAAACTGAAAACATAAATAGCCACCTAACAAATTGGGGGGGGGTAGATAAGTTCTTATACCAATATCAAGTTAAGATTAAAATATTAAGTGAAAACAGCCATTATTTCAGAAGCAGACAGGCAAAATGCATAAGGGAGAAATATTTTCAAACCTCTAAGAATATTAGAAATGCTGCAGAGGAAAAATAACAGAACATGACTTGACAGAGTACTGTTAACTATGATGGTGTTAAATGGCAAATAGGAATATCATCAAAATGATCAGTACATAGAAGCATAGAAAATAAAGATGGAAAAGATCTATTACAGTCGTGAGCAAACAATGGTCTGTGGGACTGTCCTGCCCGGCCTCTGAGTTCCCAATCTGGAAGCCTAGTCCCCGGCCTCTCCCTCTCAGTCTCCCCTCCCACGCAGCCGCACGGGCCACACTCTGGTCTGCCGCTCCCTCTGGGCAGCGTGGGGAGCACAGCTGGCTCTGGCCGGGTGTCGCTGCTGCAAGCTCCTGGTGCTGGTAAGGGCGCGGAGAGCAGGGGGTTGGGTAAGGGAGCGGGAGTCCTGGGGGTCAGTCAGGGAGGAGGGGACAGTTGGATGGGGCAGAGGTTCTGGGGGGGGCGGTCAGGGGATGGCGAACAGGGAGGGTTGGGAGTGGGATTCCTGGGGGGCCTGTCAGGGGCCAGGGATGTGGATAGGGGTCGGGAGGCAGTCAGGGGACAGGGAGCAGGGGGTGTTGGATAAGGGGATGGGATCCCAGGGGGAGCTGTCAGGGGCAGGGGTGTGGATAGTCATTGGGGCAGTCAGGGGACAGGGAACAGGAGGGTTGGATAGAGGGTGGGGGTCCCGGGAGAGGGCAGTCAGGGGACAAGGAGCCGGGGGGGGGTTG